GTAGATGGTTTTCATCAGCAAGTTAGCTGCAGGTTCTCCCTGGCCCCAGTTCCTGTCGAGTGCAGTAACGAAGCTGCTAATTCCATTTGTCAAACGACTCGTGGCTACAGTCGGACGCGACAGCAGCGCCGGGAGGAGATGCAGCGGAGTCGCCTGTCAGCGGGTGTTCGACTTGAGGGTCCTTCTTCACTCTCTAAAGCTGCTGCATTTGCTGTAGGTACTCCCATTGCCCCTGCAGATCTGCGTGATGGTTGGTTCCTTTTAACTGAGCAGCAAACCCAGCAAAATTGGAAAAGTGAATTACCTGAGAGGAGGGAAATGAAAATACGCTCTCAGTAGAAAAGCACAGGATATCTCAGATTACTAAAACCATTTTGTTAAAACCTGCCTGTTATTTTTCCAGGTCTGCTTTTCTTTTTTCTCCCTCTTACCTCTCTGCATATTTACAGTTAATCTTCTAACAGTCTTCTTGAAGGAGCAAATCTGTGCAAACGAGCAAATTATAGCTTACACCCTGTGCTGTTAATTAGGTTGGGAATACATTTTGTTAAATAGTCGAAATCTGATTTTCTTTTAACCAGACTTCATATTTCCGCATTGCAAAGGAGGATACTTATCGAGAGCAGAGCTCTGCTTGCATTTCAGGCTGTTTTCAAGGCATTTCATTCTCTGCAACTTTCCTTCTGGCTTTTTAGATGTACTGCTGAAAGATAGGCAGGACTGCATCAGGTAGCCCTTTGGTGGGATCTCATTGGCATCTCATATCAGGAGAGAAATGGCCAAATAAAAGCAGTTTGGCAGCAGAACACAAGTGAAATCAATGAAAAATCTTTCAGGGTAAAATATTTTGTGATTGTAGCCTTGAGTTAGTACAGCTTAAGTCAGACCCCATCAACTCTCGCTTTATCTCTGCTCTGTGCGCCTGGATTTGATGCTGTCCTCCGAGTTGCTCAGCTTTGGTTATGAATAAACTTAATCTCACTGAGAATTTGCCAAATGAATGCAGGCAGCTGGCTCTGCAGCACAATGAATGAGGTTTGTGTACTGCTTTGGGGGGAACGGGGGAAAATCTCCATTACACGACAGTGAAATACAGAGGAGGATTAAAAAAAAAAAAGAAAAAAAAACCCTCCTTTAGTCACGTCAATACAACATTTCTGTGTTGGGAGTTCTGGCTGACACATCTAAAAATAATCCTGAATACTGGTTCATGCAGATCACCAAGTCAAGTGTGAACGTCTTCCTTTTGGGGGCTTCTTTGAAAATAAAACTCCCCCAATGGGTTTTGTGCAGTATGTTGTTGTTCTTAGCGGTGCTTTTTCCTCTTGTTGCCTCTGGACTAGCCTGTTCTCTTATCTCAAGCGTTCGATTTTCTTGGATGTCTGAATTTCCAGGGTTCTTTCATGTAGTGGCTCTCAAGTATCCGCAAAGCAGGTGATGGTGACACTTGGTTGGAGACCAGCAGCTGAAAGACCTTGGACCTCATGGTAAAAAAGGCTCTTCCTCGTCCTCAGTTACTGCTGGTCAAGCTCAGTTACGGGGCATCCCATGAAGGAAATACCTCCAAAAACTTCCATTGAAAATGGGGATGGAGTTACAAAAGGAAGTGTAGTTGCTGGCATTTATCCCTCAGCCACATCTTCTCCAAGGGGTCTTGCAAGTGGAACAGGAAATTTGGGGCATGTGCCCTTATTTGTTTCTCTCCATGTGATCACAGGGGTTCTCCTTGGTTTGCTTTCAGCAAGTTGGGTCTTCATTAGCCAAATCTGCCTCTGAGAGCATGAAGAAAACAAGTGAAGCTTTCAGCTGTGGGATGCAGAGCCTGGCGTGGTTATTCTGGAGCCTTTTTTTATCTTTGCAGCTGTTGCTTGGAGGTTTTTGCCCTGTTTGATATTTCGAAAGCCGGGCAGCCTCCGAGGAGCAGAGCAGTGACCTTGGAGCCTCTCTAGGAGCTGCCGGCGGCCGCGAGTTGCTGCGGGGCTGAGCTGAACCTATGGATCCCATCTCGCTGCAGACAGAGCCTATTGATCCAGCTCGCTCAGTTAGCCCTGCAGGCTTTGAGTTTGGCCCCTGAACAGCAGCTTAGCTGATGGAAACCTCCCACCTCGGGTATCTCAAATAGTGTCGTTAATGCTACTGGTGTTTGGACATTTGATGATGCAGCCACCAACGCTTTCCTTTGAGGAGCCTCCCATTTCGGGTGTCAGCTAGAGCAGCCTGCTTTTTGTCCCGTAGGGCACTATAAGCATTGTGATTTACCAAAATAAATGGTAATATCCCCCCCAAAACCATCCCGTGGACCTCACAGTGCACATTGGGTCCAATAGGAAGATGATCTATAGAGATAACAACAGCCCCTCTAGCTCTAGCTAGGTGGTTCAGTGCAGAAACCACCAGGTATCTCTAGGTGTGGATTTTCCGAGCTGCCTTTGGTGGTTGGAATTTGTTTGGACTCACCTTTTAGCTGTTAGACCTTAATTTATGGGAGAGGAAAAAAGAGCCTAGAAATGGCTTTTTCCCTACTGCTCCCTCGGCCACTTTTTGGTCATTCTGCAGCCTCCGCAGGCCGAGCTCTTTCCCAGCTCCTGAATTGTTTCAAGTTTGTTTTTTCCTCCCTTCCTGTTGCTTAGCCTCAAGTACGTCCAGCAGCACTTCCTTCAGCACTCCTGCCAAAACCATGTCCTGAGATAAAAAAGAAAAAGCAACAAAAAAAGTTCTCAGTATTCCTGCCCTTCCCTCCTCGCCACGCTGAATTTTCCAGGGATAACGTTAACATTTTTTGTCCCAGCAGCATAGTAGGAACTTTTTTTGCCTTAAAGGATATTTTAGCCACTGCATGGCTAACTAAAGTCTTAGATGTGTTTTTCTAAGAGATTAAGTGAACCCCATAGATGAAAAAAAAAGAAAAATCTGCTTAGAGAAACAGAGCTAAGGCTTGGTTATCTTACCTGCTTCCTCTGTTATAGCCCCAGGATTGTCTACCCAATCATTCTGCAATCTGTATTTTAAGCGGTCACTTATTCCTGTCCACGAACGTTGCCTTCAACTGTGTTTTCTTGCTGAGTCTCCTTTTCTTCTTCAGATTACTGCTGGTTTTAAAGATGTTTTTTGAGTGTTGATTCTGTGACTTACTTGACATTGCTCCCAAACTGAGACCGCCTTTGAATTTACTAACTCCCAATAGCAAGATGGGAGAGAAAATAAGGGAAAATATGTAATGGAATGGGATTCAGGCTCTGCCTCATCCTATAAATTGGTTCCTCTCTGGCAGTGCTTGAAGAAAGTCGCGTGCGCAGGAGCTTGATGCTCCATTACGAAGCTCTGAATAAAAATTGGCGTAAAAATAAAACTTGGCCGACATCGCGATGCCTCAAATCCAAAAAGGAAGGGTGAAACCTGGCTCTGTGACCTCCCCTTGCTGCTCTGAAGAAGAGGGAAAATGATCCAGGTAGCAGCGTCCTAGCTACTTCCTTCCTTCCTAAGGGATTCTCCTTGCTGGGAATTGGTGCTTGTTCTGCCAGGTCGCTCATAAATCCAGCTACTGTGTTTAAATATTCGGTCTGGTCATCCGGATCGCGTGCATATTTAGAAGATAGGGAAAACTGATGGTCTTAACTAATATTAATTATTCTATAAGAGGGGTTTTCTTAAGAGTGAAGTTGTAAAGGCGGTGACCTGCGGACAAGGTGTCTGTTTATGTGATCTAAACTTGTGGGTTTCTGAAGGGAGGATGAACTGACATTTCCTTTTAATTATGGATAGAGTGGGAATCATGGGCTTTCCAGGATATTTTCAGCTTTTTTCCCCCCCTCTTTACCCTCCCTTTTGTGTGAATGCATGAAGCTCGAGGAAGAGAAAATCTTTATGAAATGTAGAGTTCCTGGAGAGGCTTCCTGTGAGCTCTTGCTTTGTGGGAAGGCCAACATTGCTCAATTCCGAGACGCTCCGAGCCTGTTGGAAAGGATTTAGGATAAAAATTCCATGGAAATTCAGCCCTTGGCTTGGGAAAGCCTTTTCTCAAAGGCTACCGGCTGAATTCCTTTGGGTTCAGCTCTTTTGCAGTAGCAACAATAGCGTTACCTGAAGGCTGCAGATGGATCAAAATGCTACTTTAAGCAGAATAAGCAAGTTTTTCCCTTAAATTCCCTTGATTTCTTAAAAGTCCTGTGAGATCCTGTGGCCTCCCCAGAGAAGTAAAATCTATGGAAGCTTCTATGAACACCAAAAAACAACCTTTGGCACATGGACATCTTGCTCTTCTCTCCTGACACTGCTCTGGTCTTTGCTGCCAGCTCTGTGGTGGGATTTTAGTTATTTGGTTTTGTTTTTAAAAGCATCTGGAGGTGATAAATTCATGAGCAGCTTCAGCTGTTTCCTAAATGACCCTCCTGTGCATAAGGGAACTTAAATATATTGTGACGAGGCAACTTCAGAGGTTCCAATTCCTGCATATTTTGCTTGTTCCTTTTGGATGAAGATGGTTGGAATAGGGAAAAATTATCCCATGGGAGGGAGTTAGGCTTTGTCCCAGCTCAGCTGCTTCTTGGCTCCTATATGGTCTAAGCAGGAGCTGTTTAAGCAGTGGTTGTTCTAAAATGAGCCTCCTATTCCTTCTCTTTTAAGATAAGTGAGGTTTCAGGGTTACACGAGTTAACATGCGGTTTAACCCGGCCGGGCTGAGTGGCAATCCCTGAGGAGCTGCAGCATCAGCATTGGCATCAGAAACTGGGTATTTACTTGGAAAGGGAAGCCTTTGCTGGGGAATTTGCACCGGGGAAGGCTTCGATGGGGTGTTTTGCCCGGCCACGCGTGCCGGCGTGCACCGTAGTCCTGCCACCGCAAAGCTCTGCACGGTGACGCTGCATCAAGGACATCTTGTTAACACTTTGCTCTGAGGTTTTCAGTAAAGCTCCTCCCGAATCCGCTTCGAACTGGCTTGTTTCAAATTTGCCCTGAAATTGTTCCATCAACCTCTTTTTTTCCTCTTTTTTTCTTTCTTCCAGTGGGGAAGACTTCCTTGATCACCAGGTTCATGTATGACAGCTTCGACAACACCTACCAGGTAAGCGAATCCATCGCGTTTTCTTCCCTGAGGTCCCTCTGTTCCCAGGTCTTCCATTGCAGAAAGAATCCGTTTGACTGCAGTGAATACGACTTGGGACATTGGGCAAATTCTTTCCTATCAAATCTCCAAAGCTCTGTAGTTGAACAAACCCTTCAAAATAATATTTTTTGTACATTCTGCTGGAGTCGCTTATCCTGCTTGGGGCAGGATAATGCCTGGTTTGAAGGGATGGGCCTCTCACCTGCACCTAAAGGATATTCATCAAGTCTACCAGGGTTTCTTTCCACCGTTTGCTACCAGACCTTCACAAATCAAAGGGCTCTGTGGGGGAAATGTAACAGGCACTAAGCTCTTCTAAAAATAATAGTGATAAAGCTGAGCCGCAGGGGGTCTGTAGGGGAGAGATTCCTGTGGCCAGTGCTCAAATTCTAGGCCAAGCCTGAGACGAGACTGATTTATAAAAGTAGCCCTAGAAGCCCCAAACGGCCTTGCTCCAAACAAAAGCAGCTTTCATGAGTTATTTACAGTTAGTGACATCCTGTATATGCCAAACTGGGCAAACTGCTCCCTAAAGAACAGGGAAGGTTCCTTGGGGCTGGGGAGGAGCAGGTAATAAAACCCAACTGTGACTCTTCTATCACTTAGTGCCTATCCAAATATCTCTTGTTTAAGTCTTTTTACCCATTCAGGATTTTCCTCCCGTCTCCCCAGTAGTTTTTCAGTGCTGCTGCTAGGCAAGTCAGAGGGAATGAGATGCAAGTCCTCACTTAATGGCAGGAGAAGCAAAGCTGCCGTGGCGTAGGAGGGCTAGAGTACACATCCGTGCTCCCTTGGGAGCAAACATCCTTCACATTCTACCCACTGTAATTACACGGACATGTGAATGCAGCTCTTTAATCTCCTTTTTTTTTTCCCCACAGTATTTTTCTTTCACGTCTGCTCCTTTTCTCCATGGAGTTTACTTCCCAGTTTTTTTTTCTCTCAAAGAGGTTCGACCCTCTGTGCTTTATGATAATGTAGATGCCTCCGTGGGAGGCTGCTCTGACACATGCTAAACGATTGCAAAATGGATGAGAGGGACTTAAAGCTGGAAGAAATCTTAAGGGCTCGAGATGGCTCCAATTTACCTATCAACAAGGCATTCCTAGTATTAATACACTTTGTACTGTGTCATTCATCTAAAACCCTCTATTTTAGTAAAATCATGACCGAGGTAGGGAAATGCCTCCTATTTTTATGTAGTTGGAAAAGAGAATGAGTCATAAATTTAAGTGATTTGACCAGAATTGCATGCCACGTTAGTGGTCAAGCCAGAATAGAGATTTCCTGCCCACCATTATTACCTCTTAAAGCCAAGTTCTTGAATGCTAACGTATATCAAACCATATATGTGGCTATATGGAAGCTAGTGGATGATTTGCTCTTTTGGGGCCTTTCTGATAAATTTTGAAAACATAATTTCTGAAAGCTGCTGCCACCTATCATTAGAAAAGGGTTTTGCACGTTCAGCTGGCAGGACTAGAAAGCTGCAGGTTAATAAAATCAGTGCAACTCATTAGTTTTCTTTCGCTTCCTGCTAGGTAAGAGGTGTTTGGGTGCTGCCCACAGTTTATTAATCAGCTGTTTTCGTGCAAGCAGCATTTGCAGCTCAGTCAAGAACTCCCTGTGCTTTGCCATGGATTCCCAACCACGGGAAAGGAGAGCGTGCCATCTGCAGTGGCTGTTTTACCAGGAATGTCCCCTGTCCAGGGAGATGCTGGGAGAGGTTTTCCTTGTTCTGCAGCACTGCCTGCAATGTATAATGAAAGACCACGAGCTGCAAACACATGACGATGCTGTTATGCAAGAGGAGCATTTCAGGCCATGTTTCCCTTTAGCTTCAGCCTTCGGGAGGAGGAGGAGGAGGCTGCTGCGTTAAGGCCTGGCCTGTGACTTGGGAGAAGCCTTGGCTATGGTCCTTGCTTTGCCTCAGGGCCTCCTTGCATAGCCCTGGGTGCTAGTGAGTCAAGGAATGAAATGGTGCAACTGAAACAAAGCACTTTGCAAGTGGAGTAAACCTGCCCTCGTCTTAACTATGGTAGTTGGCTTCATTTCATGCCCGTGTATCTTTTCCCCCCATCTGAGAATCCCCTCACACTTTGCACAGCTTTTCCGTGCACCTGACCCCTAGGTATCACTGCAGCTTGGGTTCAGTAAAAAATGTGAAAAATTGTAAAATTTTGTAAACATTTTGTAAAAATTTTATAAAAATTGTGACCCGGACGCTCTTTGGAGCTTGCCTGTTTCAGTAAAAGTTTAGGAGTGCTGGATGCCTGAATCCTCTCCTTGGCTTGTTCTCTTGCTGCTCCTTTCCGTCAGCACGAGGCAGTTAGAAGAGAACAGACAGACAAATAACATTTTGTCATAATTTTATCCCTCAAAGATTGTGATGCCAAGACTAGGAAGTGTATCAGGCCCATCACGCTGCAAAAATCTGCTTAGCACAAACAGGATTTTTTTGTTATTTTTCTTTTGCATCTAGTTTTACTCTATTGACCATACCTGGCTGCAATCTTCTTCCTTTCCACCTGAAATCCATGGCAGAACACAAGGAATTAATCACAGGGAAATAATACCAAGTATTAAAAAATATATAAATGATATAAATCAGCAATTCAGAGCGTACACAGTGAATGAGGGTAGAGCCTCCATTAGACCCTCCTGCTTCCCTGCTCCAAAGCCAGTAAGAGGTGGGAACAGGACTCTGCCCCAGCTGAGAGGATTACTTGTTACCTATGTGATCTGTTGGTTTATTTACTATTCCTTTTATTAAACCAATGTGTTATTTGGATCATCTTCCAGGCTCTACGTGCAAAAAAAATCCCATCTTTATAGTAAGAAACCCTATGTACTTTCTTGCAGGTATGGTTTAAGTGCTTAGTTCTGATACAGCAGTAGTGCTCCCTTCTGCTGAAAATTCCTACAGCTATTTCAGTATTTTATTTAATATATATATATTTTTAACAGGCAACCATTGGCATTGACTTCTTATCGAAAACCATGTACTTGGAGGATCGAACAGTGAGTAAGGTTTTTGTTGCAGTTCTCTGTGTACAGGATCAACATCTGCTACGATAAAATTGTGCAGCACAGAGCTCTGAGATCCCTCGGAAACCAAAAACTGAGCTCTCTAGTCATCCTGCTCTTGTGGAGAAGGATGAGGTGAGATAGTCTGAGGGGTGGAGAACGGTGGGAATCTGGAGAAGGAGGCCACACTTATCCCTTTGGGTTGCCATGCTTCCAGAGGGAAGGACAGGATAGAGACTGAGTCACGTACAAGTTGCCAGTTTGCATCAGCTCTTAAGATTACTTAAGTACACAAAATTTGCCTTCAATAATAGCTCAGAAATATATTCTTGCTTCCTTAGCGCAACTCTACATTCTGCAGTGCAATCACAGCAGCAAGTCTGGCCTTTAAAATTAGCTCAGCTCCTTAATTAAGAACTTCAGTGGTGGAGCTGTTTGCCAGGAGCAATTGCTGCCTAAGTGCTGGATAAAACCCCCATAAATGTGATTGCCCTGAACGTGCTGGGTGACGAGATGCCCTAGCGAGCCCGTCCCCTGTGCACCTCTGCGTGTCTGTCGTTTTTAGTGCACTTTGTCTTTTCTCTCAGCATCTCGCTGGTAAGACCTTCAGCTTCATCTGCCTGCATGTCGCCTTGCACGAAGGCTTTAAATTTACAGCAAAAAGTAGTGTTTTATTCTGGGAAAACAATCCCATCCATTTCTCCAGACTCGACAGCAGCTGAGGACTCTCCCTTTAGAAATCCCGTGGCTCTGGTCTGATTTGTCCCCCAGCCTGTGTCCTGCACGCACACAGGGCCTGCAAGCCTCCTGTAGGCGGACTGCAGGGGAAATAATTTGCTTTCAGTTTCCTGCAGCTCCTTGTAGTGAAAAACCCAAGCAGGGAAACGTTTTTGAACCACAAGGACAGGAGAAGTCCCAGATAGGTGCCCATCTTCCATCCTGGCTCCTGTTAGAGCTTAGGAGAAGCTACTCCCAATCCCCAGTCATCCCCTGCATGAGCTCATCTATTTTTTATTTAGCTTTTTTTTTTTCCAAAAAAAAAAAAGTAAAATTTATTTACTCTTTTGTTTTTAGTGGCAGTTTTGGCTTTTTTAATTTTCTCCCACCCACAGATCAGGTTGCAGCTGTGGGATACTGCGGGTCAGGAACGTTTCCGTAGCCTCATTCCCAGTTACATCCGTGACTCTGCTGCTGCTGTAGTAGTTTACGATATCACAAGTAGGTATATTGCACTGGGTTTGACCTTTTTTCTTATTTTTCTTGCTTGTTTGACTGATTTTGTTAGGTACGGTTGCAATTATGGGACACAGCAGGTCAAGAACGGTTCAGGAGCTTGATTCCTAGCTACATTCGTGACTCCACTGTTGCAGTTGTTGTTTATGATATCACAAGTGAGTGGGGGGAATTCTGCATTTCTAATCCTCTGCCCCTTTCTCATCCTTTAGCCTAGCTTTGCATGTCATTCCACACTCATGTGCTTGTTCTTCATTCTGGCATGAAAAAAGTGGTTTCCTTTTATTGTAGTCGAGTTAAAACTGGCCGCTCCATCGCGGCAGCTGTAACATAAAAACTGCCTTAGAAATGACACCGTTTGTGACCCTTCCTTGTCACCTCCTCCCGAAGCCTTGAGCGCTGGCCGGTCTTGTTGCACTTTTCCCCCCTCTCATCTGCTTTTGGGTCATAATCCCGTCCACTTTCTGTCTCCAGCACCTTCATTTGTGCCCCTTTACCCGAGGGCTCCACTTAGAGCCTTCGCGCCGCATCTTGCCCCTCTTCATTGCCCCCCAGATCTGAGCATGGGCTGGGGGGGAAGGAAAATGTCAACCCTTCATTTTCATTTAAACTGTCCCCCTTTTGCATTTGCTGTATGTAAAACCTCACCACTAAGCCCTTCTCCTTTAACAACTTCTCTTTCATTTCTTACTAAGGTATGTATGTTTTTTGTGAACTAAAATATTAGTGCTTTTCCCAGCCCTTCTTTTTCCCCCTCCCCTCAGTCCAGAGACCACTAACTTTCCGGCTTCCTGTATTTCCAAAGAACAGAAATCTTGTTCTAAGAGAACTAAACCTTTAGATTTGGTCAGTTTTAAACCAGAAATGACTGAGAGCAAGGGTCTAACTCCATACAAACGCAAAAGAGCTTGTCCTCTGGTTTACAAAGAGTAGATTACAGCAGGTGTAAGAGTTTTACCTATAAAAGCTTGAAGAATTAAAAAGAGCACTTCTCATTTGAGCTGAAATTTCAGGTTATCTGTGAATTCCCCCCTCCTTTTTTATTTTTTTGCTGACCTTGCAAATTCACTATTGCCAAGTAGTGAAGAGAAGAATAAAGACACTGGCAAGGGCTCAAGTCTCGCCTGCCTGACACACAATATATTACTATGCAGTGAAAGCCATTAAAAAAAAATCCAATACTTGCCAAGAAGCGCTGCGGAGCCCCCCGGATTTAAATACTGAAAAATCCTTTGGCAACCGGGATGCTCTTGTGCGACTAACGGGCCAACGCGGAGCTTGAGCTGCTCCGCGACTCGTGTTTCCAGGCGGGTTTCAAATGAGCTGCTGTTTTGGTGGGCCAGAAGAGCTTCCTAAAGTTCCTAATTCGCAGCTTTGTAGGACTTTCAGCTAAGCAAAATGCCCTGCTGATAACTTAAATTGATATTTCTGCTGCCGTGCAAACGGTTCCGCAATGATCTTGGACCCAGTCGGCAGCGACCCAGGAGTTGCTAGTAGCTCTTCCCTGATGTTTCGCAGAGAAAATGCTAAAACCAGCAAGTAAGAAGTGCTTGAGCGGTGCAAAACGCGTGGTTGTTGGCCAATGCCTGGGCGAAGCCGTGGGGCCGTAGGAAGCTCTGGCTGGAGCTGCATTCTCGGGATATTTCTCAGGTCATGAGCCCCGTAGGGTGAAGGGCCGAACCACCTACTCCCCTTTCCTTTTTGAAGTGATTTCTCTTCAGCTAAACGAAGTTTAAGAAAATAGCACTAAGACTTTTCGTTTATGACCCAATCTCAATCAAATTAGGATTCAATTCAGCTCATCGCGGGGGAAATCGAAGCCAGGGAGTGAAGTCCTGCTAGTCCGTGTGAGGTTAATGGCAAAACTTCCTTTTGCTTCGGCGTGGGGGCACCTCAGGTTTCACTTGCTGGTTCTTCATCACCCTCTAAGGCCAATTCCAGAGCGCACGAGGCTCCTGTTTGAGTCTTGCCCGTGTTTTAGTGGGGATCCCTGAGGAATATCCGCAGTGACGCCCCTCTCCGCTCTTCCCCGCCAGACGTGAACTCGTTCCAGCAAACCACAAAGTGGATCGATGACGTGAGAACGGAGCGGGGCAGCGACGTCATCATCATGCTGGTGGGCAACAAAACAGATCTCGCGGATAAGAGGTACGGAAAAGCAAGTCCTCTTTCCAACGGTTATTCCTAGCGGGTTGTTTTCTCTCCTGGCCATTTTTGTAACGTGTTTCTAGGTATTCCCTTTAAAAGGAATGCTTACATTTCCTTTTGGAATGCTCAAGCTTGTTTTAAATACTTTGGAGATGGATATGACTAGAGAAATGTTCATTTCTAGCTTTCTGTTTGGCTAAGCACCAGCTCGCAGCATAATGTTGTGGGTGACTTGGAAACAAAAGAGAATGGAGTGTTCAAGGCAGTTTGCATCAACAAAAGAATAGCTGAAATAGTAACAAATAGTTATATTTAACCTTCTCAGGTGCAAACAGTAGATGCAAGGAATTATCCCTTTTAAAACTCTTTTTTTTTTCCCAGCTTATCAAACTTAATATTGCAGTCAGATTTGTACCCACTGTCCCTTAAATGCTTATGATTTTTGTCTGGAAGCTCTTGGGGCCAAGTTTTCCCTTTTCTCCTTTACCGTAGAACAGTGACTCTTCTTTAAAACTGTGTTCCATGTGCTGAGGGAATAGCATGAAATGCTTTGAGATCTGTAAAGAAAGTAGTTGCCTCCTTGGGTTGAATTCCTGCCATGTTTGTCTTTTTAAAATTATGGTTGTTTTCCTTAAATCTGTGTTGTCTTCCCCCCAGACAAGTGTCCATTGAGGAAGGAGAAAGAAAAGCCAAAGAGCTGAATGTAATGTTCATTGAAACCAGTGCAAAAGCAGGATACAATGTAAAACAGGTGAGTGACAAGTTGGCTGCTGTCAGCCCCGAGGCTGCTGTACAGTATCAACTGTTCTGCCCGCTTTATTGAAAGACATAAAAAACAGAGCAAATATTCTTGGACAGCTTAAACTATGTTAGCAGATGAGATGCTTCTAAATTGGGGGCAAAACGGTGAAAGAAGTGCGAAAGCAGGGGTATAAATTCATTTGTATAGGAGTAAAAGTTGTTAAATAACTCTTCACTTTGTGTATTACTAGTGAAATTATTCCCTGCGGAGTGGAACAACTAGACCTGTTACCTTAGCCTATAGGGCCAATAGCTTGTGGCTGGTAAGGCCAGTTGGAAAAACCAGCAGGAAAACCCAAGGAATCAACATTTAATAAAAGATGCCCTTCCAAAAGCTGCTGCAGCTTCGCCGTTGAGGACAGCGGCTCCATTTAATACTTTATGGAGGAACAAACTCCCGTTTTTGCCTGGTGCTAAAGCATTAATGAGACTGCAGAGCAGAAGGATGTTTCTGAGCCACAGAGCTTGCACGAGCTCCGGAGAGACTTCCCGCTTGCGTAACGGAGGCCCGTGCGGATGATCCCTGGTTTTAATTGGGAAGACGTTGGGGGATTTGGCTTTTGTAAGGAAATGCCTTCAGGAACTGCAGCAAAAAAGGTGCCGATGGGAACCTGTGGGCTGGATCCCTCTTAAGAAGGATCCCCCATTCTTAAGCGCCTTCCTTCTGCAGGTAAAAATCAAAAAAAAACCCGTAAATATATATGTGTGAAAACAGTTAAGGATCTATTTTTCTCCCAGGGGTTTTGATCTTGATATTGCAGGCAGGGATTCTGAGGAACTTCAAAGCTGCCGCTGTGTAGCGCAGAATAATTGAAAGTTCCTTTTTTCTTAGTTTGAAACAGTTCACAAGCTCTTGATATTTCTTTTCTTTGTGACTTATTTCTTTGCAGCTTCGGTCCTGATTAGCCTGAGGTTTTTATGGACACGACGGTAAATTCTTCAGGGAAATGGGAAGGTGTGTGTAGAATGGGTGTCCTTCCTATAACCTGTATAAAATCTCTTTTGTTAAACTGAATGCAGGTTTGGCCATCCCAAACTGATTGCCTTTTATCCATAATAATACAGCCCGACTCTGCAGAACAAGCCTGAGTTAATTTTCACGCAGGAGGTTTAATTCAAGTGTCAGATTATTTTAGATCCAGAATCGATCCAAAATCCCGAATCGGTTAATGGGAAATATTAATTTCTTGTCTCACCTGGGGAGAAAAACAGCCAAGGTTTTGCCACCTCCCCAGCTGCGTCGCTTGTCTGTGATCCGTGCGGATCCTCCTGTCGTCTCGCTGAAGGCTGAAGCAGGAGGTAGGGAGCTTGTTTTGAAGAATCATGGCCCTCAATTCACTTCAGCAGCCCTGAATGAGCTTTCAAAGCCTGCACGGTCCGAGCTCTGTCTCCTATTCCAGGGAATCCTGCTGGCTTTCCCGCCCGGAATGTGTCAGCGTTGCTTTTGCCGCCCCGTGGCACGAGGAGAGCGCGGAGGCTCAAAGCAGCGCGGCCTCAATGTGGGGCTTGGCAGGGAAACTTTCTCACGGCAGCGGCGAAAGCACCGTGGCCCCTCGAATAACCCTGTTTCCACAGCGCTGGCTGCATCCAGCCACTTGGCACTTCCTCCTCTCCTTGGATTTTTGTCCGTCTGATGGGCGAGAATTAGTCTTTGAATTGCAGCGCTCGCCTTGGAGAATAAGAATTAGGGGGGAAAACCCTCTTGCTTGGGCTTTGGGAAGCCGTTTTCCTGCCTGCCTTTTCCATCTGCACCCTGATCCTTCCCGTCCTTTCCACATTTCCGTGTTTGGGAGACAAGCAGAGACTAAGGTGACAGTGGAGGTTCTATCAGAGCTGGATCAGGAAGGAGACTGCAGGATTCCCTGCTGGAAGTCGCTCTGTACAGCTCCTAATCTTCCATTTTCCTCTTCCATTTTGAGGCATCACAAAGTTTCCCTAATGGGATTTGTTCACATATGCTCCGGCCGATAAGCAGAAAGTTAATAACAAGGGAAGTTGATTTGCCTGTTTGCTCAGTTCCCTTCTTTAGCCCACTAATTTGGAGGAGAATTACAGCTAAAAGCCTAATTTTGTTCATGGCCTTAATGTAGAGAGAGGATTACTGTATATTATACACTTGTCCTGGCTGTCAACAGCCAGGTTTAAATGCAGTGCTTTAAGTGCAGTTGATTTAAATGCAATTAGTTTAAATGCAATAATCCAGTTGCTTCCTATCAACTGTTTTTTATTTTCTTTAAGCACTTGCTTCCCACCCTATAAAGGGCACCCGGGACACTCAGTGTTCATAAATACCTATCAATAAATAAAATTTGTGCCATGCTTTTTCCACCTAGGATTTCAAAACATGTCAAATCTGCAAAGAAATCTGTGAGCCGATGAATTTTCTGCTTTCCTTGAGAAAAAGGAAAGGGTCATCCTAGTTTAGGCCCAGGCTCGTAGGACACGGATATCCATCCTTTTAAGGATGGATGCGCTTTTTTTTAAGGATGCCCTTTTAAGTGCAGCCCATTCCACACTCTTTGCATCTCTCTCTGTGTTAGTTGATCATTCCGTACTGAAGGTACCATCCGGAGAGCTGCTTCTCTTGCCATGGAGACTGGAATGGCAAGAAAAATAATGCTGAGAGGTGATGGGAGATGGCTCCAGAAGCTTGCAGCATCTTTCCCGTGTTTCATCCTTATAAACTGGACAAAGTGCTCATGTCTGATCGGTTTTTATCTTGCAAAATGGGAGCTGAGCTGCTGTTTCTTAGCTAAGGCAAATTAATCTGACCTCTCACGGGCTGCTCGTGCTGCAGAGGGCTCAAGGTTTGAGTTCCCCAATGTGTGGGGGCAAAACCAAGCCAAGGGGAAGATCCCGGATTCCCAACATGCTGGTGGAGAAGGTGACAGCAGCGCTTTGTCCCCAGTGACGGCAACCCCGGTGGCTGCAGCGTGCTCGGAATGACACTTGTATTTGGTGTCGGGCTGCTGGTGCAGGAAGCGCCGAGGGCTGGATTGAAGCCTCGTGCCGGAGCCGCGCTCCGGCAAATCCAATGGTTTTGATCCGCTTGCTTACGTTGGGTCTTTCTCTTTTCCCCCCAGCTTTTCCGACGCGTGGCAGCCGCCCTGCCCGGCATGGAGAGCACACAAGACAAAAGCAGAGAAGACAGTATCCTTCCCGTGCCGCGCGTCGGGGCGCCGACGAGCAGGGCTAAGAGCGCGCAGGAGGCGGCCTCCCGCCTCTCCTCTCTAGTCAGACAAGCCCAAATTGCATCATATTTTGGTCATATTCCAGCTCCCCGGAAGATTAATTAGCAGCTGTTTTTATTAATGAGAGGCTGGTGGCTGAAGGCGCTGCCCGATGGGCTGCGGTTTCTCCAGCGCTCGTCCGCAAGGGGAGGGTGATGAGGGCGCCTCGAGTTCGGCTCCCTGCGGGCTGCAGGTGGCAGGGATTGACTGTGGTCGTCTCCCGAGCGGCTGCGGCGGGGGTA